CCTCTTGACACGTTCTATCACTGAAATTTCTTATGTTTCTCATTTTGATTTTCAGTCTTAAAAGTGGAATAAACTGAATAAATAAAATAAATTTGGTTCCTTCATACTGACTGTGACAATTTGGAGTTACCTAATGTGGAATATACTGAATAAATAAAATAAATTTGGTTTCTTCATAATGACTGTCACAACTTGGAGTTAATCATCAATAGATATTAAAAGACTTTCCACACCTAATTACATATGAATGATCTCACAAGTTGTATGTACATATGTTCCCATCAATAATTTGCAATTAAGTAACTACTTGTTCTAATTCAAATTGTTCACGTAACCGATTCTTCACGAACTCTGATCAATGAGTGAGCTACTCAACCCATGGGGACTACTGTAAACTAATACTAAATGGGTTATAGGCAATTAGGTGTTAGTCTAAATGACTTTGACAGAATTATTGCACTATTAGTATAACCATGGGTTAGTCATATAAAATTGAACCCAAAAAGTAATAACAATTTTTTATCCATTAAAAAATATTTTTGGATATTTGAAATGAAAATGACATTAAAATGAATCACTAAATCAAGGTGGTCAAAAATCAAATTCTGAGTTATGGTTCCGTTAACCAGTAATATGAAAATGAAATGTAGGCAGAAAATGAAGGAAAGTAAAATCTTCGACAAAAAAATTAAAAGTAAATATTTGTTTATTATACATTTATTTAAATGCTTACTGGTTCCTATGTGTGAAGACTTGCGCCGACACTGGACAAAATTATTCAAAATCGAATATTGCATGCCTGGCTATGTGAACTGTACCTGAACTACTGTAAAACCAATAATTTTCGCGGTACATTTATTTTCGCACTCTTCGCGCCAGCACAAGCTGGCGCTAATTCAACAACACGCAAAAATATTAACACCAACAAAAATATGCTCTACTATGTACGGTATTAAAGTACAGTACACTAGGCCTAACCTTGCCACCATACACATGTGTGCCAAGCCTCGCCTAAGTCTTACCGTACAGCAACGTATAGGCCTAGCCTAGCTGTTTTCCCCTAGGCCTACACACTAGGATACTGTCATGTACTGTATGTTACGGTAAATGTTTTTTTTTTTCCGAATATTGTACATAAGTGATCATTAAAACTAAAAAGAAGTGTGTTTGTTTTCTTTGAAAAACCTGTCGCGGATCAACGACGACATCATCATCATCGAGGTTGACATTTTTTATGAACAGCGCCACCAGCAAATGAAAAGCATTTTTATTCTTATCCCCATGGTAACTCCGGGAACTGTTACAGTTTTGCGTTGATGCAACAAAATTTCATACATAAATGATGGATATTTCTTGCGTAAAATGAAGGTTCTTGTCTATTTATTTGTTAAAAAGCATTTTATTCGTTGATTTAACATATATGACTATATATATTTTAATGACATTATAATGAGCCAGCCTGGATGACTAGGCCTAGCCTAGGCCTACTTTACTCTAGCCCTTGCCTAGATCGCTAGCCTTTAATTTAACACCTTCATGGCTTTAGATAGTGACGAGCATGGATATCTATGTAAAATCAAGCAGTAAAGAAAATATTTACTATTGGGGAAAATCTGAAGCGCGAAAACAACAACCCGCAAATATGTTAAAAGGGTCTCTGAGCGCGAAAATTACCGGTTTTACAGTATGTAATTTCACCCTCACAGGTTGAAATGGCTGCTGAAGGCAGAGAATCTGCTATTTAATATTTAAGAGGTACATTAAAACAAAGACAACATGCTATTATTTCGGTAATGCAGTGAATTGTACTTCACTTTAAACCAGCATTTACTAGTCTCCCTCCAAATAAAGACCACTTTTGGGACCGGGGTTTCCATGGTACTTAGTAGTTTTGGTCTCTAATTAGAATAATAAAGATGAAAGACATCTGTTAATTTGGGACCACAGAAAAGTGATCTTTAATTGGAGTAGTCTTTAATCAGAGGGAGACCAGTATTTGTTAAATACTTTCGCATACCTGCCAGGTGTTGGCAATGGTGGTCTTGTGTTAATATAATCCAGATCATGTTCCGATTCCGACTCGGAGTCATCCGTGTCATTCTTACGCAGCATTACTTCTTGGAAGAACGGGCTGAATGCTTCCGCTGGGAATTAAATTGTACATGTTAATTCTCGTGAACGAATCTATACTATATAAATGGAATTAATTTAACAGAAGTGTAAAAAAAACAAAAAACATGGATTTAGATATATGGAGTTTGTTTCATAATTAAAACATCAATTCATGCTTGAAATTAATTTATATATAACTTACCAACAAATTTAATTATTATTTATTCAATATATTAACATAGTATTAATACTATAATTGATATTACCATTATTATTGTTAATATTACTATTTTAAATATTAGTGACAGTTTAAAGCGATAGGATAAAGAAAATAAAATTGTATAATTTGTGTATGTAAATACACATGTTAGTATATGCACCATAAACCGTACACATAAAGATAAAAAACATAAACTAGAGCAGGTGGAGCTGAAGCCTTCAACGAAGAGGTTTGCTCCAAATAGAAGAAGAAATACAAAGTTTAACTTACTTTGCACGTCAAAGTCGGCACCTGTGATTGTAAAGCCTGCATCTATTCTTTGGGCAAATTCTTCGCCGCTTTTTGTGAGCTCAAAGTGCTTTACCACTTTGTCAGTATCACACACAGCGACGATTTTGGTTTCCAAAAAGTCATACTTCACTGCAAAGTTCCTGATGAAAAAATAGAGATTTTAAAACAGGATATAAAATGATTCTTAAATATATTGCTCTTCTACTGATCATTATTCTTGTAGATGACATATTCTCCCCTTTTTTTGTTTTAAAAATCTAATTAACATTTACTTATTTAATATTGGATAAGTAAGCATCAGGTGTCAGTCAACTAAATTGGTGGTAACCACTCTGTGCACTAAGCCATGAAGATCCTTTCAGACCTTTTGTCATCGATTTAATTTCGGAGACATTTAAGCTAATGGTCCAATGTGTAATATGACCAATGGTCATGTTAAAGAACACGGTACACTTTTCACAAAAGAACAGGGCATGTCTCCTGTTATACTGCCACTGGAAACAATTCTTCAGACTTTTGCGATTTAACTTTGGTGTAAGAAATCCAATACCCACATTTTTTAATTCCGATTAAGACCATAAATTTAAAAGGCATTAAATTAAATACCCAACTTTTAAACTTTGTACTTTTTGGTTTTACTATATAATTATGTATGTTAATATTAGAAGTATTGTTGTAATCAAAGCCAGAGTTTGTGTTGTTTTGTATTTTTATCATGTAAAGCACCTTTGAACATAAATATTCATGAACAGGGCAGTATATAAATTTGGTAAATATATTAATAAACATTAGATTCTTTGTTTATGTGGGACTACATAAAAATATTTGTTTTTTTAGCAATACACTTACTTCATTGTCTCAAATGAGCCTTTTCGCTTTGGAGAATAGAACAAGATCAGACCATGGCACTGGCTTGCATATTTGGCGGCGCCATGATATGAAGAAGCACGGATCTCAACCTTAGCTTTTTTGTCGTCAATGTAGGTTATGACATTGAATACGCCATCAGTGTTTGGGTTACGGTAACAGAGGTCGTTCTTTACAAACGGACTTAGGACGTGCTCCACTGAGTACTCATCTCCACACATGATACACAGACCAATCCTAAGAGCCAAGGAAAAAGAAAAGAATAATTTCATTTAATTTCATTTTAGCATTTATACAGCGCTCTTTAATAATACTACTCAAACATTTATAAGGCGCCAATTCCAAACTAAATGACCAAAGGCGCGAGCGTTATTACCCCTGGTCACTGGATAACGTACAATGGCAAACCAGCACAAAGTGCAACTTCCTCTGCTCCCTGGGGAGTATCCCTAGTCGTTCGCTACTTCTTTAGCGCACGAAACTGGAACATTCAATGACTTTTCTGACTAAAATCTTCTGAAGTAGCACCAGAATAACATGGGTTTGGTCTGAAAATGTCCCTACGTTTGCCTTATAGCAAATATGAAACACATTGCACTGATATTGAATGAATTTAAATACACATAATTTTTAGTGAACAACTTGAGAAATTGTTTTATAACACTTATTAGAAGACTTGTTTTTATGATCAAATAATTTCAATGATTATTGAATTGTTTGATAATTCTTGCATTCTTGCATTCAAATTTGTGATATTTTAGGCTTTCTTTATTCATGGTCTTGTGCCAATATATGGGTATGATATATCACGCCCATATAAGGGCACATCACGCCCATATAAGGGCACATCATGCCCATATAAGGGCACATCATGCCCATATAAGGGCACATCACGCCCATATAAGGGCACATCACAGAGATTTGTCACACACCATCAAATTTGATGGTGTGGACACAGCTAAAGAGAATATAAAGTGTAAAGTATGTTTGAAACTTTAGCAAATTTTATGTAATTATGACAGGCATCCATGTTTAGCTTTGATCTTGTTATCAGGAATTTGTCTGGAAACTAAGAACATAATTGTTTTGAATTCAAACAATTAAATTCAAGTTTGTTATCGTTTGTGTAAATATTTCCTATTACTGCTATCACTCTAAAACACAGCATAATGTTAATGAAAATATTGAGAAAACCTATCAACAATTAACTCTTTCTAGCAACTGATATAGAACAGAATTTCTTTTGTTCTTTGATGGATTATGTCAGACGAAACAGTGTGTCATTTAGTCATCATTCCTTTGTTTTTGCTTTCCTACGACTTTGTTTTTCATCTCTCCTAATTAATTTAATATTAATGATGACAAATAACAATACTATAATGCCTTATGTTTTTGTTGATTGTTTAAAGTAACGATTTAAATTTCAATGTCAACTAAGCCCAATAATAGACAAGTTTTCGGAAGTGGAATAAAAATTATAATTTCATAATATTATGATATTTGCAGCTCCTCAAAACTTGTCCCTAAGTATATGATAGCTCCAATAATTATATATATATCTTTAAAAGGACTTTAAAATAATATTCATAATAAAAAAATAAAAATCTGTCCTAATACAATCCATACATATAACACCCAATAAGAATTAGGAATTTATGACTGGTGTAAACTGCAATAGCAACTGCCTCAAAAAATACCAACAACGCTTATTACTTTAAAGTCTCCATGAGACATTGTCCATTGGTTTGTTCATGTGGATTCGGCGTTTGCGTTGACCCAAGGATTGCACGTATGGCCTGTTGTATTTGCTGCTCATGAAACTTGTTACCACGCATCAACATCGAGTCATCTTTCGGCATGTCGACGAACTTGGTACTGGAAAGCCTGAAATGATAATAAACATCAATCTATTAACCAAAAAAGAAAACAAGCAACCAATCAAAAAATAAATTCAATCCATTGTTGATTTCATATGGTGCCATTCAAAGTGTTAATAAATCATCAAAATATTGGGAGATGAAGAATATCAAAAGATTTCACCAAAAATGACTAACTTGACGCTGAAATTGTTTGCCAAGTACAATGTAAAGAATATCTTGTGAGATTATGTGTACATATCTAATATTCAGCTTTGAACAAATACATTTAACAAAGAACATTCAAATAATACCAGGTAAGCCTACAATTATTACGCCATTGTTGGGAAAGTAAAGTGTAACATGCCTTGCCCAATGACACCACCGACAGCATTGGAATCAACCCTAGCTTGCTATGTAACAGAATGAACTGCGTGTACAAGATCCCAAAAAAATTAATTTCAATTTCAAATATATATTAAGGCTAATCTAACAATGATGCAGTCTATACAGTACATTGGTTATATTATTGCATTATTGGATTGTGTGTAAAACCTGCCCAAAAGTTCCCCCATTTACACATTTTGATACTAGGTCAAATCCCAAGTGGATTGACACTATTCTAATTTGGTTGGAGACAACAATTAGAGTGACAGTGTTGCGAACATAACTGACAGGAACCTTCATCTTCCTTTTTCAAAAACATGTCAGAAAAAAATGAAAATATTCAATATTTACAGCACAAGAAATATTTTTCTGTAGCATATTGAAGGCTTCTGCATGTCTAATTCTGTAATTACAGATGACAAAGGAAAAAAAATTAGAGACTCAATACACAGAATCCTATTATTAATAATTGAGAATCAAAGACAAGACAAAAAAGATAATATAGCAACACTCAAGGTTATAAATAACGCAATAATGGCAACAGAGCTGTTAAAATCATTAGTGTTTTATTGATTCACGTAGACTAGTGTGGGTCCTCTCATTTGAAATTGTAGAAAGCGTCCAAATTGCAAGAAAAGGTTAACACGCTATACACACACTGCTAACAGACGGTAGAAATTATGATCAAGTAGGGCGGAGGATATTACTGATGATTGGGACTGATGAGGCGAGAACTTGCGCCCCCCAAATTATCAGTGACTTAAAGGAAGGAGAAGATAAATATGTGTAGACAAGGTGTCTATTCCTGAATAAGACATGTGATTCAAGTATGTTTCATAACTTTAATTGTGATTTGTAATATTCGTCCATGATTTTGCATAAAGCATGTTTCACAGAGCAACTTAGATGCATATTACCCAAACAGCTTTACTACACCAATCAATTAGCATTAGGAGTGTATTGCAAACTCTGTAATTCTCGAACCATGAAAGCTAGTACACGCATAAGACACGAATGCAGCTCATCTTTTCAAATGAGGAAGAATGAGTTAACATAGAACAGCAGAGTATTGTGTTTGCGTTAAACCACTTGTGATTACATTTAATGACTGCAAGGGTGGACTAAGCTTTGTTAAAACAATAGCACTTAAAACAACATGTTAAACATACCCGTTATAGCCAGACTAAACTTCTATTTTCCCTTTTATTTACCATAGTTATTTATCCATGGTACAGTTTAATATGAATGTTGTGTAGGTGGTTTCTTAGAAAGCTTTAGGGCTGAAGAAATTAGCTCGGACCTTGGAAATAGGAAAGGTGGCATGCAAAAGATCAGAGATTGCCTTCTCTTGTTTACATAATTGGTTTAAATTAAAAATTAAATTTACTAAAGTTTTATATATAATAGAGAGTATATCATATCATTTTTTACTGTAGGAAATGAACATATACAATTTTTAAGTTACTATCACTATTTTATTACAGTATAAAATAATCATATTTTGATCAGCAACCTTAATATAAAAATCCTATATGACAGAAGGAGAAATAGTTTTTGAGGATGATTTTGATATTTCCTACAAGTTGCTAATTTTATGTCATTGTTTAACCCCCAGTGGCTATATTTAGACCAGACTTATACTTATAAGATGCAATAATATGAATATGTCTATCTATTTATCCAGGTCAGTGCTAACTATTAATAATATTTTTTTTTAATGTAGTAAATGAGCAATTTAAGATTTCTATAAATTTTTAAGGTTTTTTTTATTTATTTTTTTGGATGCTGTATCTTGGAGTGAGGTTGCTTTTTGATTATGAGAAAAAACCCCCACATCTTTTCCTAAATCAAACCAAAGACATTGGATTTAGAAAGTGAACACCTCAACCACTGTGTCACAGCTCTATGTTGCTAATTACAGCAGTAGAGAAAATCGCAGAACTATATCAGAAGTAGTTTTAGTAGTTGTAGCTGTGGCATCTGTAGAATTTAATATGCAAATGAGTCACAAAATTGTAGCGGCATGTTAAAGCAAATGGACTTGAATGGATGGATAGATCAACGAGTCCTTCAAAGGAAACCCATAAATACACAGGGGAAATATTATCAACCTTCATGTCCAGATCAATTATAATAATCACATGAACAATAACCTGAAATTAAAATCATACAACATACTTGGCCAGCAATATACTAATAAGCACCGACACTGGAGACAGGTCGTACTGAACAGGTGGAGAAACATTTGAGGGGGAGGAAACTAACTGTGCACGGTGGCTGTACACTACATCGTGTCAGATAAATTAATATGAGAAATCTGAGTTACTGTAAATGTGATTCAAGATACTTGGAAGGATCTTAGCATATCCTGTAAAATCACAGATCAATTTGATTTTTATTTGTGATGAATGTTTAAAATATGAGGCTGTTTGAATCTGACAATTTCGAGATGAAGTTGTACATGTGAATAATGAAGGAAAGTTTAAATTAATTTATGTTCTACCTAACTTAGGTCATATTCGATAAAACCACTATAAGGCTGTGAAATTTAGCAGTAATGATAGTATGTAATGTTAGCATATATTTCCTGAAAAATCTGAAATTTTAGAAAGAATAAAAAAAAAAATTCACTCATAGAAAGAGTGTTTTAATCATCAGCCACTATAAAAATATGGGTTGATTGACAAAGCTGCTTTAAATCTTTTGCTCTACAAACCTTGTGGACATCATCTGTGCCTCTTCTTTGATTTCGTTGTGCTCATCATCTTGAACCAGCACGCCACGAGCAAACAGGAAAACTACCGGTAGCTTTCGAAGCTCTTTGTCGCTCTCTTGATTCAAGATAGTTTTCTCCAAACTAGACTTGACATAATCGAAAGATTCTCTTCCAGAGAAGGTACATATACAAGCTGCAATAATCAATAATAATCAATAGATAATCAAGGTGTCATAAGGAATGTCGATTGAGTAGACAGAAATCTCATGAACCAATTTAAATGGATGAAAAGCAGTTGTAGATGGTAGGGTATACAAGGGCTAGACCCTAGCATTGGCGAAGGTTAACATTGAGTAAAACATTGATGGCAGGCTGTCATAGGGATAGGGTGACTTTGGCAGGGTACCCATGGAATGGTACTGATGACAGGGTAATGATGGCTAGGGTTACATTAGCAGGGTACTGATGGAAGAGTATCAATGGCACCGTATCATTGGTTATCTCATGTTGCGCAAGACAAGGATTGCAAAGTCCCAGAGATATGGTGGCTTAGGCAGGCATAATAATGGCTATGGTAACAATGCAAGGATTATAATCGCATTGTACCATAGTAGGTTTAATGTAGAGTAAGACACTGATGGCAGGGCGCCATTGGCTAAGATGACCATTCGCATGGTACTGATAAGAGGGTAACGTTGGGTTACAATACTGACAAAAACCTAATGTTGAAGGTATTAATTACTGGGTAGCATTGGCTTAGGATGTTAACAACAGGGGTAATGGACTGTGCCAGCTGTAGAAACAGGGATATAAAACATCAACATTCAACCTTAGTTTACAAAAATTAGAATTTGAAAAACATTAATCATCATAAAAAAATTATTACCAACACTTGGTTGGGAAATGATAGGAAATATACACATTAATATATGTTTTTAAATGTTACTGTTGGAACAGCAAAACAAGTATTTGTCAAGAGAGTCATGTACTCAAATGAAAGTGCCTTAAACATACAGTAATGTTAGTATTGAGCTGATCAACATTAAGTTAAATGAATATTACAGAGAAAACATTGTTCTTGTCAATTAAAAGATGCATACATATACGGTTCCTATATTGCATGTAAAAACCCTTTAATTGCCTGGTAATAAATTTTAAGACTTAAAAAAAAACAAAAACAAAAAAAAACAGTCACATAAGAATTATGTTCATGTTTAATTGCATTTTGTATTTCTAAGCTTTTACCCGACAGGTTCATTCTGTTAATAACTGGTTTAATATCTCACCTCTGGTTCAAGAACAATTGAATATCAGGAAATTATTTTAGTGTTGACAGCATGTAACTATGGTTAGCTCATCACAAATGGTGTACCATTAATTTTATTGAGATATTAAAGTTTGATCAGACTCTTATGAGTCTTAGGGAGTAGAGTTTTTTCGTAGTTGTGAGATAAAATCAAGCACTTTGAAAATCAGGACCCTGGGATTCGAATGCAAGCATCTTAACCACCAAGCTACAGCCTAACTCTGTATTGTTTTTGGCTAAAAATATATTTGTACAGCAGCATACCAAGAATTATCCCTCATGGAGTAGTTTAAAGTCATTTATATCATTAAGCGCTCTGTAAGTTGATTTTAGTTTGAAAACTTCATGTCCTTATCTGAAAATTTGTTCAAAAACAGTCATAGTAGTGATATACCAAAAGTATCCCCATTGCGTGCCTATACTTATCATACACGATGGAATAATACAACAATTATACTTGGTGATCCTGCCAAAGTTTCTCTAAAGCGATTACTAATATTGATGGACATAAATTTAAAAACAGCACCCCTTATCAAGGTCATAACCACATATACAGGCTACTTTCATTGCACCCCTTTATCACAATCCAAACCCCTTTAAATTAAGGCCAATACTGTACAGTACTGCTTCATCCAAAATCAGATCCTCTCACTGTACCCCTTCACAAAGATTATATCCCCTTTAATTTAAGGCCCCTTTCTTTGTAGTACCCCTTTAGTATACAATTTAATCTACAAGGCACCCATTAGTCACCAGTCAATAAAATGTCAACAACAAAAAGCAACTTTGGAATTTCATGAGATGGAAATAATTCAATTTGATGATAATGTCCACACGATTGTCAATTTGTGCTAAATATCAAAACAGACATCCCGTGGCATTTAGTTATTGTGTTTGTGTTTGCGAAAGGTGCCACATCGTCCCGGTACAAAAATTGAAAATATGAATAAAGGAAACAATTGTGAATATGCAAAAAGAATGGTAATATGGATATAAAAATAATAGAAATCATATGAACAAATCAAGTACAATCACAGTAAAGGAAAGAAAACAAATATATAATCATAGTGAATAGTGAAGACAAAATTTAAAATATGTAAAGCTATTACACCTAAACAATACAATTCAATATATGTAAATTGTTTAATTTGTTACAAGTTAGTACCTTTCATTTAAAAAATGACAATACATTTTTCTCACCTACTAATGAATAAAAAAAAAAATGACATTCCCATATTTTTAAAATAGACCCTTAAATGTGTTGGTAACCAATTTTAAGGATTTTTTAAAAATTAAATCAGCAAAACTTAAATTGTTTTAGCATGATTATCATTCAGAATTTAAATAAATCATTTAAAAAAGATAATGCCCTCCAATGTGTACCCTTGACTATGCCCAATCTACTTGTTTTGTGTGCATTGGTATTTAAAAGAGGAAGAGGGAAAGATAGAGGGAAGATAATCTCTATAGTCAGATAATTATTCAGCACCAAAATTTGATCAAAGGGGTATAGAAGGGTCATTTGCAATCAATTATACCATCTGATAATTAACCATGACAATATCATAAACTTTAGTATCCTTTGGCCATCTTGGCAGAGTAGTTACAGTTACTCAAAAGTCACAATCCAGTTCTTCCCTAATTTCCGACTGCGAAAATGACATGGCCGTCAAAACTCAGGAGAAAGTAAACATAGAAACTGTATTACTCACAGAAATACAAATGCTCTTTAACTTACAAACATATTAATTACGTATTAGAATTAACTAGTTTAAAATAACCAGGTTGGGTTTAAAGAGGTTGGCAACCTTGTCTTGAAAAATACTGATATGTTCCAAGACATAATTATTGATAATCATTCATATGAAACAGGGCATGAGTCATGGATATATTTACAAAATACATCGATCAAATAAAATCATAATTCATAATTTCGAGTATTCTAAATTTCAACATAAATAATGTTGGTTATGCTTGTTTTTACAATGTATAAATAATGTATATATTACTTTCCTTTAGGATAATTTAGAGTATTCTAAATTTCAACATAAATAATGTTGGTTATACTTGTTTTTACAATGTATAAATAATTTATATACATATACTACTTTGATTCAGGATAATACTAATCAAATTGTGTTTAAGATTGGTATGATAATATTAATAATCAACGATTTAGAACCTACCGGCTGGTGTGAACTGTTCTGTTTTCAAACCATTTTGTATCTGAGATACATCGCCCTCTACAGCCCGAAGTTGGAGGTTGTGTAATCTACCATCAAGCGTGTACTCTCTATCACAACACTGAGACTACAGGAACAATAACAGAAAAAATATAAGTTACATTGAAGAAGCTTCTGTTTAATTAAGAACATTTTACTATTGATTCAATTCCAATAAAATAAGATCAATCCTAAAAAAAATATTAATAAAATCTTAGATTTTTTTTTTAATTGTCAGGTGAGTATGAATAACTTTAATAGAGAAAAAAAAAATTTTTTTTAAGGGTTTGTAAGCATTATTTCAAATGTACAGTAATTATAACTTTGATTGAACGCACACAAGATTTTATGTGATTTGGCGGTGTGTGGCAGCACAAATGAAATGCGATAACAGAAGTTAATTTGCCTGGGAACAATGTGAAACCTCAACATTATATAATTAAAAGAAATGATTAAAAGTACAAATGCAACTGTAGCAGATATGAAAGCATGAAACAGATTCTGGCAAATAACTTTTTCCCACAATCTTTGACAAAATATCTCATAATCACGTTAATGTATATTTGTGTTAGTCTATCACGTGAATCTTTCAAATTCTAAGAATAAAATAATTTAATGAATAAAATGAACAAATATCCTTTAAAAAAACATACCTTTAAAAAAAATGAAATATAAAATTGACTCATTATGAGAAAGGAGGATACATATTTACTCTCATAAATATATATGCGTGTTAATTACTGTTTAAAAGGTCACAGAGTTAACAGCTGGCTGACAAACAGGTAGAGGTGATGTCTCTAGTAATGACAGCCAGGCCATACATGGGAAGTCAGACTCACATCATCGTATGTACATAGCCCATGTGCTAAACCTTCATTTCAACGAATGAAATGCCTCACATGTTCTTTGATCATTTGTCTATTAGAATATCCAATTTAATCCTGAAAAATATAGTTTCTAAATGCTAATTAGATTTATTAACTATTAATCAGCATGATGGTTATCTTTACAATCACTGCATCTTACAAGCCAGACTTGCTTGGATGTCAAAAATGTAGCAGTGTTGCCAGAATTTGTTTTAACATACTGTACTACAACGTCGTATTTGCATAAGAATGCTGTAGATTCGTTTTTGCAAGTTAATATTAGACATGGAACCACTGGCCACTCCAAATGAATGGTTACTGTACAATAAAAAATGTTAGAGAGCTAAAACCTGGGAAGAGAGAAGGGAGTGGGGGGGGGGGGGTGCCAGTCAACTAAGGAATCCCTGTTGATGGATACAACTTGTGATCAGACTAAATTTAATTTGCCATCAAACCTATCACTTTAGGACTTTCATTTCTTAATGCAGTCGAAAAGCTAAATTTTTACTCTACCAAACCCTAAAAACTCTTTGTGGCGAGTGAATTCACTAAAATCTCTTTATAGCCCTGATTAGAGGCCCTAGCGTGGTTCAGTACTCCTGTTAGACCCTCATATTGGCGCCATCACTCTTCCTAGTTAATGAAATAAATATGGTTAAGAGTCTACCAACATTCGCATTTTAACACATTCCTTCCTATAATACTAATGAACGACAGAAAGAATAGGAAATGTAGGCACTGAAGAAGTTTGGCAACCAGGGCAGCAGACTATGGACTGTTATTCCTTAGGGACACTGTATTGAGGACTCATCCTTCCCATCTAGAATATATTCATTAAAATGCATGATAACTGGTATTTCCTTATTCCATGGTGTTTTATTGGTGCAATTCGTTTTATTTTGAATAAATAGTTGGCCTAGTTTGTCTTGGATTTACTATAAAATACACTAAGAATCTGTGTAACCATTGAAACAAATCAAACAACAAAAATGTTCAAATTTTGAATAAATTAAATTGAATCAGTATCAAATATTTTTAAAAAAATGTTTAAACAGACTTTTCTTTAAGATAGTTGTTTTCTCTGAGTTTTTATAACACTACTATATATTTAATTCAATTTTTTTTCAATTCAAATTAACCTTTGATTCAGTAGTCCTTTAATCCAACTGATTCTAGAATTTAGGTATTTCTCTTTAAAATATCTAGAGTGTAAACTTCAATAAATTATAAATCAGTTTAGAATTATGCACTTGAGAATTAAGAATTATAGAGAAAAATACAAATTACAATGAATTGTAAAAATAAATGAGTGGGGCAACAATAGTTATTATTTAATAGAATACAAGTTTTACATATAGTACACAGTGAAGAAGATCCATATGTTTGAAAGCTTGTGTCATACAATTCCAGTGTTTGATTTCATGGAATTGTTTAACATAATACAAAGCCCCTAGGTTCTTCTTAAAAGAACCAAGTCTGTATCTACACAAATCAGATAACCGAATAATAAAATTTTGCCAAAGTGTCAGAAAAATAAGAGTTTTTAATCTAGTATTATGACCAAGATGACATTTTTAGGTTTTCCTAATAAAAGGAAATGTAAAATAAAATGACCCAGTGGTTAGCACACAAAATACAAATTTATGTGCCTTGTGACTCACATCATCACGGTATTATATTGGAGTCGAGTTTCTGAATTCAAATTCTGGCGTGCAATCTGTGCTTTAACCAATGATAATCATTAACAGGTGTACAGGTTGCATTCACCAACTATTTGTGAGTTCATGTCTAATGAATTTTATAAAATCACATTTAGGGTTTTGAATATAACTAGTTTCCCCTCTAATTTTTTGACTTTGGTACACTTTTGGTATTTATTTACTTGCATTTCATTCAATTGTAAAAATCTATGTTGATTTCAAATTTTTATGCAGACTAAGTTACACTCCTAGGTGTAAAATATCAGGTTTGTTTTCCTGAAAACAATGTAGGTGTGTTGTTAATGATGTAATAAACAATGCAGCACAGCATTTTTTTAAAGTTTCAAAACAGTACTTCTGACACATATAGTGAGGAGTGTATTCAAAGAGGAGTGCTTATTCAAGAGAGGCCCTAATTAAATCATTTACATACCTATTCAACAAACCCTTTTTTTTATTGAATGTAGTAAATTACATGTGTTTTCATTTTTAAATTTAATATGGTGAAATTCTAGGCAGCTCATTTAAAAACCTGTCTGAGACAGGACAACACAGGATCTACTACTAACATTAAATTGTTATTCATTCTTACTTGATACTGCTTTTAATAGTTTTACAGTAAATATTCTACAACATAACTATGGTTTGTATACTAAATTGCACAATTTTGCATTTTGCAAGTTGTTAAAGAGAAACTTGTGTTCATATCTACTGGATGTTTTAATTGTCTGTGATCTATTACTAACATGAAACTATTAATCATTCTTACTTAATACTGCTTTTAAAAGTTTTACAGTAAATATTCCACAACATAACTATGGTTTGTATAATAAATTGCACAAGTTTGCATTTGGCAAGTTGTTAAAGAGAAACTTGTGTTCATATCCATCGGATGTTTTTATTGTCTGTAACATTTAATATAATCATTATAATTAATACAGTAATTATCAATGAGAGGACACAGTCTTTAGGGCATTCTACTTGATGTTGCATTAATGCGCTACGGGAAATACAGATATTTAGAACATCTTACTTAATCCTACTTTTAATGATTTCTTTTAATTTAATTTATTTTATCTTTTGAATAATGAAATAATTACATTTCACTTGTCTTAAAATCATGCATTTCATGACATACCACAATTTCAAAGGATCAAACATTTCAAGAATTGATCATTGCACTCTGCAATTCCCCTAAGTTATAATTAATACTTGAGTAGTGACATAAGTCACTAATATGACAAACTGAAAGTACATGGACAGCATTAATCTTACATACAATATAATTAAATGATCAATTATTTACATACATCAATAATACTGAGAAGAAACATGAACTTAAAAACTACATGGGTGTATAGTGAAATAATTTACATATATCAATATACTGACAAGAAACATGAACTTAAAAACTATTTCAACGTATAATGAAATTATGTCAGTTATTAAAATAAAAATGTAAAAAAGTAAAGAGGCCGCTTTTTTTTCTTTTAAAAACGTATGGCTACCAATATATCTTGTATAAAAAACAAGCAAAAAATGTACATGTTTACATAGCCTATTTCTTCCATGCGAAATATACTGGAAATCTAAAGTTACATCTGTTTTAATTTGACTTGAGGGAACCCAATATTCAATACACAAAAAAAAAAAAGAAAAAGAAATTACAAGCCCTATAGGCCGCCCACACAACAACAAGTGATTAGCTTTCTCGAGTGTACGTGAGAACATCTGGAAGTCCGTTGTTGGCAATGCTACTGCCCTGCATGACATACTAATTGACATCCTAACATCATATGTTACATTCTAACTAAAAAAAAGCCACTTAGCTACTAATTCTTGTCCTAAATCAGTAAATTTATAAAGGATCACTCATATAGTTAAGATGGAAAAAAAAGAGAGAAAAATTTGGGGGAGGGGGGGATTGGAAGGTGAGAAAATTAAAGTTACCAAACCATTTAACTTAACAGTTTTAATAGATAATTATAAATTCTGTCTATTTAGTCATCTTTACCGTAAAGGCTGACAAGTCACGCTCCTTTAAATTATTCATCACCAGATCATCATCAGCAGTGGCAGCGCCACAATCTATTGACCTGGACGCACTGCCCTGGATCAGGCCAAGTTCCAATGTCAGTGTCACCTTTAGGAAATAATTCTACATACCCTAGAATATGTGACAACAGTCATGTATTTAGGTCAAAAATTCCAAGAAAATGTACAATGTAACTTATGCAAAATAACATTTCTAATTAGTACAGTAATTGCTACTGCTATCTTAATAATGTTGGTTAACCTGGCGCAATCTTGACCTTAACCTTGCATGTGATAATAATAGAATTGTACCCATATAAAAAAAGAGATAGGAAGGGGTATGAAGAGTACAATTATAAACATCTGTTCACAATAGCTTCTCCATAAAAAAGAAAAATGTGATAGTGTTAGCAGTTGGCAGAGAAGTAAGTTTCGTTTATATCTGTGGGAGTATATGTAGATGAAATGATGTCATTGACTTGGATTTA